CGTATCGGTAATAGCACGGCTACGAAACGCGATGTTATCGAACGTTATCAGGAATTCGCGCGGATTCTCTTCATCTTGTAGAGGAGAGCGAATAACAAGGAGGAGAACGACGAAAAAGATCAGGCTGTATCGGTAACGCGGCTCCCTCTACAATACCATCTGATACGGGCGTAATGCAAGTGCGGATCGGTCGGTGGAAAACAGGGGAACGTACGATCAACCGCCGCCAGTGTCTCGCCACACTAACGATCCCTACGTGGAATTTCGCGTAGGTATTTGCTCCCGCAAATTGCCTTCGTAGAAGCTGGCCACCGCATTCGTGTCTCGCCGATTCGAGATCGTGGCCGATATTAAAACGTCACGATGTTGAACAACGAAACCACCTTGGGAATATTATATAAGCGATTCCATGCTACGAAAGATATTCCTATCGTTAATTTCGCGTTAAGACGATTTCTTCGATTCCTTTTTTCCACTAAATTTATATTATTGAATTTTAACCTTCAATTTAGCACGCGAAAAGATAATTTTCACGATTTTATATAAATATTTTTTAAATAGGTTCTGTTTTCTCTTATTTAGATTCTATAATTTTGTTGAGTTTAAAGAGTTGACTTCTTTCGAAAATCTTTGAAATTCGACGAGACGACGCGATGACGATGAATCATCGTACGTAAAACGAGTCTGATTCCTCGACGAGTTCGTAAAATGGTAAAGTTTGGAGCGATTAATCGGACAGGGATATCCGATAGAAACGAATTAACACCGGTATCACAAGCTGCTTAAATCAGTACATTGAAATTTAGTGGAGGATTTCGTTCCAATTCACACTTAACTACCCCCGTCACGCACGCGAACGGTGTATACATGCCTGAATACGGGGATAGCTACGTAACTGCGCGCACACTTGTACACCCACACGAGGAAACATCGTTCCTCGTTGGTTAGAGTTTCCGGGACACACGAAACCCTCGTATCAACCGTATCGTTGCGAGGGTAGTAACATCCCGACCACCGAACCCTATCCCTCTCCCTTCCTCGCCCCATTTGCCGGATAAAACAGGAGTTTCGTAGTCGTAGTAATTTAGTGCAGGTGTTGCCATACGGATGCCAAACCCTCGTGAACCCTCGTCCATCGGGATCACGGATTTACGCCAGAAGTGGCTGAATTCGTGTCCCACGTCTGATTATTTTCATTTACATCGAGTTTTATTTTATAATGCTTCTTCGATTTTTGTTACTTGTTCGCTGTGAAATAGTCTGAAATTTTGGAAACTTACGAAAATGGATGAAAATTCTCTCTATTTTTGTTTTCTTTTTTTTTAATACTTATCAAAATGATAATTCCACGATGGATGGTTGAAGAATATGATTCGAGGAAATTCGATCCGTTTTTGTTATTTGTTTGCTGTGAAATAGTCTGAAGTTTGAAAACTTTCAAAAGTGGATGGAATAAATGGATGAAAATTATTTATATTTTTTTTTTAACATATATCAAAATGATAATTCCACGAAGGATATGATTCGAGGAAATATCTTGGTAAAATTAACATATGGAGTGGACAAATCAGACTGAATTTGAATCAATTTAATATTTTATATTATAAATATTATTGATTCGAAGGAATTTAATTTTAATAAATGAAAAATATTTGTAACTGTATACAAACTAGTTAAGATTCATTTATATTTAATAATTATAATTATCAACTAAGAGAAACATATTATTTTTCATTTGCATTAACTTCATCCTTAAATAATTCCATCCACTTCACTTTAGACTCGATGCCTTAATTAAGACTCGATAATTTCGAAGGAACGATATCAAATATATTTACTCGTTTCCTCAAAAAAGGATCCTGTCCTTTCCAGCCAAATTAATGAAAATTGTTACGTGCCCCGTCCAGGGGGAAAACGTTCTAATTCCACGTTATTTGGAGGATTTTTCGAAGCTTCTGCGTCGAATTAAGCGGACTTCCTCGGGAGATCCTCTGACCAATTTATGTTTGCAAAGATCTCTCCCTTTATTTCCAGGTCCAACGTAGCCTCTCCAACGATTTCAAAAACAAAGAAAAAAAAGAAATTAGACAGAATGCATGGAAAATGGTGGTACGAAGGTGAAACGTGGCGAAGAATAAGTAGAACGATAATTGGAAGAATTTTTTTCGAGAAAATCAATTGTGAAATTCTGTGAAATGCACTTGAGAAATAGAATCGATCGATTCCTGTTCCTTTGCACTTATACTCATTTGTTGTATAATAAATTTTTTTTTTTTGCAACTAATTGATCTTTCATCGCTTCTTTACTATTAATTGCATAACTACTTTATAAGCAATTTTTTCAAAAACGAAATTTAATAATCGATTTCTCGAAAACGTTCAAAAAAGATATCTTTTTGACTTATTTTCGAATAGAATCTCTTTTTTTTTTCTCCTTGATACGATAAGGAGATACCAATTTTTCCGATTTATAAAAGTCACTTTTCGCATTATCGAGCACGGGGACGAGGGAGAAGCGGTCGAATGGAAGCCTCTGGGATTCTAGATGTCTCGAGCTTCCAAGCTTACAAGCTGACTTTGTGCATTCCTGGCCGACGGGTGTGATTAAATATCGATCTGAGGGAATAAGCTGGACTGTGTGTGAATAATTTCGCGAAAAATGCTTCTTGAACGACATAATTGAAGCGTTAGTTGAAAAAACTATGATTCAATGAAGAGTGGAAAGAATTACGTATTAATTAATTTGAAAAAAGAATAATTTTAATCCGATATCTGAATTTTCATATAATTTACATTTTTAAAAGGATACATATTTATTTGTATATATTTATTTATTATATATATTTTATTTTATATATTTACTTTATTAGTAATGGAATATGTAAAAATATGGCGCCATGATTTTCTTTCGATGGATTAACGATAGGAAAATTCGTATCAACGTTTAAATTTGCCTCGAAACGGCATTATTTAATTATTATTTAATTAAATATAAGGCGATAATTTCATTTTATCACCATAATATTAAATCGTTAATCGATATACCAATATAATCCAATATCGGTTGGTCTCAGGGAAGAATAAATTTTTTCCCTTAACGATTTTCTTTTCCTGTACATCTGCTATTTTTTTCACGGAGATAACGGTGCCAAAGTCGTTGGAAACCGTGCATAAAGGAAAATGTAAGACGAATAACCGGGCAAATAATTAGATTGTACCTCTGCGGCGGATAGGAATGTCCGTGACAGGCCTTCGATCGAGCATTTCGGTAAATTCGATAAAACTTTTACTCCTTCCATGATGCGGGATTCGTCCTCTCGATACGGGTTCGTTTTCTTCTTCCTCTTTCGCGCTCTTCACGTCGTTTCCCGCGCCAACTTCCAATAACGCGACAATAAAATGGGCCCCGCTTCCGTGGAAATACGTGGATGGAGAATTGGTCGATGTAAAGAGTTGCCAGGAAATTTTTGAAACTTCTTGCTACATACTTTTATATATTTGAACCGATGTTATCCAGGGAAACTTGTTCGTGTAGATTTAATTCTTGGATAAACTGTTGGAGAAATATATTCGATATTTACAAAGTAAATCGTGTAAGATCAAAATTAATTCAAAAAAAAAAAAAAGGAAGAAACGCAAAAATTAAATGAGAAACAGCTATCTGAATATAAATCTCATCTTAAAGAGCAATCGTAATGCAATTTTTATCGATTCAGAATTACTTCTCACGCGTTAAAATATGCGATCTTGCAAATGGAGACTCATCGAAAAGAAAAAATATAAAAAATAATTATACGAAATTTTGATAGAGAATTGCAAAAGCTCACTAATAGATGTTTTTGGAAATGAAATGGATAATCATTTCCGTGTACAGGCGCTTAACAGGCCTTAGGCAGAAATTGCAGAGTTCCTTATCTTCCTGGAAGAAGGAAAGTATGTTTCCATGTTGAAGAAATAAGTTTCTCTCCTAGAGATTTTGTTCCTTGCATTTACGATTGTGGAAAGGAACCGGTCAGCCGTGCCGATTGTGCAGATCGTCGCACGCGATATTCGCGAATGAAAAGCCGTGATCCCGCGCAACCAACAGCGATGGAGGTGGAAGGTGTGCGGAATGAGGGTAACGACCGCGATAAGTGGAATAAAAGAAAAGGTAAAATCGTGCCAGCCTATACTGGGAAAGTTATATTGTCAGGGAACGTTTCGAGATATTGTGATATTTGAAACTGCTATAGGTATATATAAGAATATTCCATCTTGCGATAAAGTTGGGATTTGAGACACGTATTTTTCTTTCAACTCGATATTATTATCGCAAATTGCAAGAAAAGAGTATAAGATTATTTTCAAAATCTCGTACTGTTTAATCTCGTTTCTCACGAGATTTTACATCGACTTTTTTTTTTGAGAAAAAGAATTGTAATCGAGTTTTAAAATTCGTTGCGAAACGATTGGGATATGTCTTTTTCTGTGTTTTTCTGTTATTTTTTACACGCGTCAATTTTGAAACGTGCTCAGTAAGCTGAAGCAAATGTATATCACAGTAAGATAACTTGTCTATCTAGGGATTAGTAGAATTAGTTTGTGCAAACTTCCTGAAGTGATTCTGGACACTGATTGGCAACGGTTGACTTGCAAAAGCTCACTAATAGATGTTCACAGGAGTAATTAGTGAAACTTCTCCTCGCCCTAACTCGAGAAAATTGGTTTGTTAATCTTTACAAAGATTACTACCCGTCATTGTCGATCACATTTGTTTCGAAACGATTCACGGGAATAATTTTCTCGTGCAAAAATTTTCGAGTGAAAATTCCTCGTCCTCCAATTCAACAAAACTTCTTATTCAAAACACCTTCTTATTCGTTTATTATTTCCCTAATAAATCTCCAGTAAGTATCAACATAAGAATTTAAAAATTTTTGAAAACACTGGAAACTTTCACATCGCACAAACTCGAAATAAATTTCACATTTGACTCTTAAAAATTTGATTTTCGTTTTTAGGTGACGGTCAGGGACGACGGATGGCCGTCCCTCTCCTCGACGACCCGTGTCGTGATCGCAGTGGCGGACATAAACGACCACGGGCCCGAATTCGAGCAAAAGTTCTACACCGTTCAGATACCAGCATCCCCGTCCACCGATAAACCGTTGTTCCAGGTAAGCCATCACTTTCCAGACAACCATCGATCGATCTTCGTAATTCTATCCGACCTTCTAGTTGAGAATTAGGGGCTGGCATCGCACCATTTTCTTCTTCACCGTGTTGCCGGAGAAACGGACGGCGTTACCGTTTGTGTTTCTATCCCGTTTCTCTATTTGTCTCCTTTGTACACGTCCAAGTAGAAGTAAAAATCCCTTCCCCCCTCCCCAAGTATCTTGTTGTATATATTGTCTTCATTCATGTGAAGAAACGTAAGAGGAGTGTACCGCAAATTATACCAAAAATGTACGTACGTATACTGAAAACTGAAGGGAGTTGTGCGTGAGTCGAAAAGGAGAATCATGGGAGTTAAAGTGTTCGAAGGATTTGATCCTTGGAAAATTGAAATTTTGAAGATTCGATGACCGAATCGGGGAATTCGAATTTCATGGAAACGGATTTTATCATTCGATAATGTCGATTCCTGCACTTCCCTTAAGTGGATGGCAAGCTGGGCGGAAGTGAACGCTGCCAAGTGATGTGATACAATTGGCGAAGGTCTTTTGGCATTCTCGATAAATTTATTGCTTAGAGAGCATGGATTCTAGTTTAATGGTTTTTAAAGGTGAAAGCCGTCCAATATAATTCAATTTCCGAATTATTATAAAACTTTTAGATATTTATCGCTCTCCTGAATGTTATAATCTGATTTTATTAGTGTTATATTTAGATTTAATATATTCGTATCTAGTTGCTATTTTTTTCTTTTAACTTCTCTATCATGTTGCATAAATAGTTTTTTTTGAGACAAATGATTTGAAATTCAAAGAATAGCAAATTAATTTAACTTCCAAAAAAAAAGAAAAAAATTATAACATTTCAAACCACTAGCGTTCATTTCAAACGAACCAGTTTACATTTTGCTCGGTCAATTCGTTTGAAAATAGTCTCAGAACCTCACATTCTTTCGTAATAATTGCCAAAAATCTTCCAAANAAAAAAATTATAACATTTCAAACCACTAGCGTTCATTTCAAACGAACCAGTTCACACTTTGCTCGGTCAATTCGTTTGAAAATAGTCTCAGAACCTCACATTCTTTCGTAATAATTGCCAAAAATCTTCCAAAACACCTTAACTGTATAAATACCGAAACATCGTCTCCCAAATCTCACGTATTATTTGTTGATAATTGCTTGGAGTCTGTCTTAATTATTGTACGCCTTGTTCGCCTTGACGGCCAAGCCGCATAACGTAGCACAAATCTAGTCCATATCAAGATTTAAAAAAGGAAAAGTCTAATGTACATAAGCGCACGAAGAAAAAGAAGGTCGATCACTTTTTATCGAACGTAAAAGTTTCTATCTTAAAGTCGCCTCTTGTCCTCGATGTGATCAATGCTACTTACCAGCAACTATCCGTGAAAGGTTAGATTTAGCACACGAACGCCCTCGCACGGAATCCTCCCGTGGAGTTCTTCCGATTTACGGCGAGACATACATAGTCTTGGTTAACGTTTCACGCATCGGCAATTTCGGGCATCTTGACAACGGAAATTAATATTTCTTATAACTTCGAGACGACCTCTGGGTTGTCCACTGTTATCTTTTGAATCGATAATCGATCCTGGCCTCGATGACTTCGAGTTACGCGAATCGTTACAATTTGTTTGAAAACAAATAATTTAGGCGCCATTAAGTGTGTTAGGTTATGTTCGTAAACTGTTATTGCTTGTTTGGAAATAAATAGATTAGATAGATTATTGAGAGTTGGTTTTTTTTTTTTTGAAACATTGTAATTGGTATTTTCAATTTTTTTTTTAATGATTTAAAAATGGATTTATACAAGAAAATAGTGTGTTAATAAATTTTGTAATGATGTCAGTTGTAGTTGGTACTTTACAATGAGATATATTAATAATTGAAAAGAATTTTGTGTGTTCTTTAAAAATGTTTTTAATGTAGTTTAGTATGTTGCAAGTTTCGTAAATTTTATAGTAACATTATAATATGCATAATTTTAATAATTGCAATGTATATTTTAAAATTCGTAGAAATTTAGCAAATATTATAAATTTTGGTATATTAATAATTCCAAGTATTACTTTGCAAGTTTAAAATTAACGTATCATAATATTTATTTACAGGAAGTAAAATATTTCCTCGATCGTTACAGCGAAAATTTTTATTTAATCATAATTGTATAAAATCGTAACAGCTTTCATCCTATTTTATATGATGTTAATCGCGGATAATATTATGCGTGATATTAAGCTATCCAAATATTTGCAAATTTCGAAAATCGACGGATGAAATAATTTAATAAATAATATTATCGACCGAGAGCAGTAGAGAGAGAAATGATTAATCCGACGTCACAGTGACAATAACTTTCATAATATACCCGAGAATATTTAATATAATTTCCCTGTCAGCGTCGAATTTCGTCGAAGCCAGATTCGATTTCGTCGGATATCGAATTACGCGTTGGTCGTTTTCGTAATTTCGCCCGGTCACTGTGTATTATATATTATCAATCTTCGTTCGCGCAAACATAATATATCTCGTATATCTTACAAAATTTATATATTCAATTTGCGATCGTATAAAATTTCTCACATTCTTTATATATATATATCTCGAAAGAAAAAAATTTATACGTACTATGGATTAAAATTTGGAAACTGTGTTTTCAATACGCTTTAATTCGACTGAGCATTCGATAAAGCATGATTTCATCCACGTTGTTCTCCTTAAGTTGGTTGATCGCAATTCCTTTACATGTGTTTCGCGACAAAAACGTCGTTTCAAACGATTTATCATTTCGAGAATAAAGAAAGAAAACCGACCAATCGAAACCGCGCGTCCGCTCGATAAGGTAGGAAAAGAAAGATACGCGGTGGAAGGGATAAAAGCGAATTAGCGGAAGATAATGCGAAAGTTAAAAGGCTTCCTTCTCTCGTTCTCGACAGAAATCGAGGAACCGCTCGCGGGAGTTCGACCTTTCGATCGATACGTTACTAGAGAATGGAACTTGGGAGACATTTAGCCTCGACAGCTTGTCAGGAGATCCTATATTCAGGGTAAGGACAACGCTGGCACGTAAAAGAAACTAAAGACGCCACTTCGTGGCACGGGAGCATAAATGATTGCCGCGTGAAACGCGGAATTGGTCTCGGATAGTTAACGCGAGCTCTTGTGCATTGATTTATGACCTGCTTTTATGTACATATATATATATATATATGTATATCTATACGTATTGTATATCGACTATGTTAACGTTCTAATTATGATACTGCATTTTCATGCAACTCTATGCCTATATTTCTTTTTTACTTTTTTTTTTTNTTTTTTTTTTTTTTTTTTTCTTTAATAATAGGAATCGTCATGCATCTCGTCCACTACTTGATCGATCGTCTTTTGTCCATTTTTGCCCGATGCAACCCTTCTTTTTTTGTACACGAAGAGAACTCTTAAACTGGCGCAACACGCGACTCTGAGCAAACTTTACGTAAAATCGTGATGGAGGGGAGAAAAGGTTGATTTTCAATGAACGTGGACCACCGCTGCTACTTCGTACGCTGAACCCTGGGTAATTGAGGCTCGTTCGTAGCTGTCCGGGGATTTGGGTCGAGAGTGGAATTTATCTCCCCGAGTTATTAAGTATCAAGTGCCTACCGGCTTCTTAATTGCATTCAGAGTTCAATGCTCCCTTTTTCTCGGAGGGAAGGCCGAAGAATTCGATATATCTCGGTTATTTCTAATGTTTTCGAAGGAAAAACTCGAAGACTTAATTATACCACAATCTTTTAGCTAAATTGTTCGTTCCAGATGTAAAGCCATAACCTGCGTTTCTTTGAGAAATAATTGCTTCTTCTTCGTTCTTGCAATATATATGTGTAATTTTTATGATTTTAATTACTTAAATACCTCGAATAACTTTGAAAAGTTCTCTTCTGATTTTTATAATTACTTGGAACAATTCGCAAGAAAATTGAACTATATAATCAAAGAAGCCTATAAATAAATATAGTTATATTAAATTCTTTTTTTCTATAACAGTATCGAGTTTCGTAATAAACCGAATTTTCAATAGGAAATTTTAAATATCATATTTGACGCGCTATTTGGCAAATAGCTCTTTTATGAATATTCAATCCGTTCGCTCAGAGTCGCATCATGCTAATACGCTGCTATCTTTCTCCATCCCTGTGTATACGTCCAATTCGAATCTTTCTCCGCCGCGTTCCTTTTTTTTTCTTTTTTTCAGTTTTGCTCGTTTCATTGTACCATATACGTATACGTTACATGTTCTTATGAATGTTTGCATCTGTTGTCTGTACTTGGGGCTGCAGCCTGATCCTGTTTTCCCTTCGTAATTAATGAAAGTCGAATGGCGCCGAAATAGACCGCTATAAATACGAGAGCATGAAATGATAAAGAATGGAATGAAATGGGAATGCCACGTACAACAGACCAGTTTTCTTTCCCACGAATTGAACAGTGCGCCGCCGCCTCGGGAATGAAAATCGCCTCGGGCCACACTCCACAATTGCACCAATTACAATTGAATGCGGAATATAACTTTCGCCGAAGAATTTCAATCTTTTCGATCCGATATTGTTAATCAAAAATTATCCAATAGATATTCGAATATATCTCGAATATATCTAATATCTCGAAGACAAACATTCTTCATCGACATTCTCTTCGAATTTCCATTCAACTCCCCGTTATCCATCAAATGGAGTATTATTACTCCACTCCACGAATCCGAAAAAGAAAATCCTCCACTTGGCCCAAATTAAATCAAATAAAGGTTTTATAAGCTCGATCAATCGATAACGCATACATAACCTGGGATAGAAATCTGAAAGTCCTTTAATCAAATCGAACGTCAAACGAGGCCCTCGGTCAAAGGGGAAGATTCTCTTTCGCGGTTGAGCACGAAAAAAAATCGTGGGTCAGAGAAAACCGGGAACCCGATAATGAGCTCCGGCCGAGGAGAGATGTGTTCGTTGCGGGGGGAAAAGGCGCAAGATCGGTGCAAAAACTCTCGCGCCGTTTAATGAACCGGCGACGATACATTTTTCCGTGTGCATCAGCTCGAAAAAACATTGGAGCCTCCTCTCTCTCTCTCTCTCTCTC